AACTCAAAATCTAAGCTTCAGCCAATAGTTTAATCTTTCACCAGCTGTGGACAAGCCCATGCAGATATACTGCTCATGTATCTGATACATAATCTGGCTCCTCTGGGCAGGGGGCATGCGCGCATGTGCCCGCCACCCCAGCTGTGCTGTGATTCATTACAGCACAAGCCAATCAGTGGATCCCGGACAATGATTTATGGCTGGGACCCACTGAACAGGGGAGCAGATGACAGGAGTGAGCTCTGTGATTGTAAATAACACAGAGTTCTGTCCTGAAAGCGGCGATGTGCCAATTCTTGTTTCCCTGCAAAGTAGGGAATAAAAAGTGGCATGTCCCTTAGTAAAAGCACCTCACAGTAAACACTTTACACACAGTCAGCCCTTTGATTACCCCTAGATGTTAACCCCTTCCCTGTCAGTGTCATTAGTACAGTGTCAGTGTATATTATTAGCACTGATCACTGTATTAGTGTCACTGGTGATGTCAGTGTCATTTAGTCAGCCCCCCCCAGCATCAGTTAGTGTCAGATTGCCCACTATACTATCACAGTCCCACTATAAGTTGCTGATTGCTGCCATTTCTAGTATAAAATAAGTAAATAAATATTCCAGTATATATTTTATAGTTTGTAGATACTATAACTTGCACGCAACCCAATAACATACACTAATTAGAATTTTTTTTTTACCAAAAATATATAACAGAATACATTTTGGCCTAAAGTTATGAAGAAAATGGATTTTTAAATGTTTTTTATTGTTTATGTTTTATAGAAGAAAATAAAAAATATTGTTTTTTTTTTAAAACTTTCGGTCTTTTTTTATTTGTATATAAAAAATATTAAAAACCCAGTGGTGATCAAATACCAAAGGAAAGCTCTATTTGTGTGAAAAATATGATATACATTTCGTTTGGGTACAGTGTTGCATGACTGTTCAATTGTCAGTTAAATTAGTGCAGTGCTGAATAGCAAACATTGACGTGGTCATAAAGGGGGTAAAATCTTATGGAGGTGAAAGTTTGTCCTTTTCTTTTTTCAGTCTCATGTAGGTATTGTGCATACCAAGTTACCAAAATAATGACTTATTCAGGATTTAAGATGTTGTCAAAAAGCTATTGAAAATAGAAATAATCCACAAACTATGCAAGCAATTGTCTTGACAGTGCAGATGTGTGTAGACCTCAGCTACGTATTATTATTCATTATGTCTTTGTCTATATAAGAAACAGTGGTAGATGACATTTCCAGCAAGGCATTTCCCAAATCATATTCACATTGGGATTTCCTGTTTGTTCTTTAGATTTAAAACGGCATAAATCCTTCTGACTGACCCCAACGTGAAGATGTTTGGCCTGCTTTTGATCTCTAAATCTCTGTTTTCACAGTTTGGGCAGCTTGTCATAACTTTGATGGCACTCTCAGCCAAGCTCTGCCTACTCAGTACCTGCCTGTGATATCTGCCTTTTCATGAAGAGCGAAGAGAACTTTAACGTCCACACTTTGCTGCAGACAAAGCTTCGCCTTTTCAAAGTCAACTAAAATAGAAAAAGATTCATATGATGCAGAGCTTTCTGCATTGATATGGCTTCAACTTTATTAGAAAAAAAAGCAAAATACTTGCTTTTATTCATTTGCACATTCTTTTGTTTTAAAATGGTACATAGTGGCAGCTGCTCATTTATTAATATTTATGTTCAACATTGCAAAAGAATAAAAGTAGCCGCAATCTAAATAATTAAACTGCATTTTGCGAAACTCTATGTATGCCCTATTCCCTGACATAGCATAAAAAACTGACAGTTCTCCCAATAACCCTGCAGCTCAGTCTCACCCATTAGCTCTGCAGCTATCCATGAATCCCAGACCTATACCAGTAAAAGAAAAAAAAGGTTTTTTTTTAAATATTATATCTGCACAGCAGTGTAGGCTGCAGGAAATTCAATACTTATTCATAAAATATTGACACATTTTAGATATTGGCTTCCATTGCTTTGTATCCCCCGAGACATGTTCACAGACATTATCCCAAAAATTCAGACATTGTCACCGTACAGTAGTATATTAAGTCTGAGATTCTCACAAAACAAGTTCTCTACAGCTTTCACTTTCTTTTCACTGGCGAGTCTCAAGTTTTCTAATTAAAATAAATAAAAGACATGATATGCAGTAGGATAAATGTTCCCTCCTTGTTCCTGGATTTAAAAGCAAATGTGTAAATGGATAAAAAAAAAAATAAAAAAATGTGTAATTGTGATCATATATGCTGCACTTTTGATTTCATTACATTTCTACCACGTAGGAAGAGTTCCCTGTGGAGACTATGGCAATGTATTATAACTAAGCAATTAAATAATTATGTGTCCTACATCAAATTTTAGGATCTTAACGCGATTGCCTTTAGTATAATTTCCAATTATGAAGCTGTAATTAATTTACTTATTTTAAGTCATACTAATATTTCCATAGATGCTATTATTAAAAAGGGTAAATATTATATTTGTTTTAATATATACTGTATGTACAAATAACTCATTAGAATTATAAGCAGGGATTACAATATAGAAGTATCTGACTTCTTCTCTATCAGAACATCTGAGACAGTAGAGTTACAACTTCAAAAAGACTTTAATTACAATAATGTTGTCTAGTGGATTAGCAATTTTTATGAAATCTTTTGACAATGAAAAATGGCATAAAGCATGTAAAATCTAAAAATTGTCTAAAAAAGATTTGAAAATAGTTTACATTATATGTAAAACTGGCAATTGATAAGAAATACTTAGGAAAATAGATGTCTTTCTACATCCAAAATGGCAATTGCGCTACATACTTTTCCACTAAGCCAAACAACATTTTAGTGTGGCATTTAAACATATCCAGGATATCTAGGTTCTTCTAAATCTTCCCCTCTGAAAGCCCAGTTTAAACATTTTAAGTTGCTCAGTCCTGTGAAAGATGTTCCTATCTGTAAGAACCAGATGTGCAAATGATGAAACTCAAATACAGAGCTGAACTTTTGCAGAGATGTGTGCTCAGATAAGTTATACGTTACATGGTGTTAAGAGGTAGGGAACTGGATTAGGAAATTCTTTGTTGAAGAAAAAAAGACCCCAAAAAAGATTTTAAGAAACATTGTGGGAAAAAATATGCTAGGAAAAGGTTATAGCACAGAGAATGTATGACTGAAAGTAGCCATGTTTACAATGTTAACTGAAGCATGGGGCAGTTACTATGTAAAAAGAAGTACCTTCATTGATACAGAATGGCACAATTTAGACTTTATTATATCAATTCTTAAACACATAACTAATCCCCAAATTGCACTAATTTATAGTCTTATAAAACAGTTAAGTAGAAACAATGGTTGAAGAGGTTATAGCTGGGAGTCCATATTTCTAGGGTGGCCTATAATCCTGCTAGTCAACGTGTTAAGGTACTGATGGGCAACACAGTGGTTTAGTGGTTAGCACTTCCGCCTGGCAGCATGAGGGTTGTCAGTTCAAGTCCCAGCCACAGCACTACCTGCCTGGAGTTTGCATGTTCTACCTGCCTGTATGAGTTTCCTCTGGGTACTCCGGATTTCTCCCACACTTCAAAGACATGCTGGTAGAATAATTGGCTTCTGCCAAAACTGGCCTTAGAATGTGATTTAGTTTCTTAGGTTGTAAGCTCCTCAAGGGCAGGCATTGATGTGAATGTACAATGTATATGTAAAGTGCTGTGTAAATTGATGGCACTATATAAGTACCTATAATAAATAAATGTTGCTCTAGAGCTTAACTGTAGTGGTACTATAATTCTAAAGTCCAGGTAAATATAACATAACATTATCAAATGCAATAGTGTATTCCTTAAAATATCGATCATTGTGTTTTTAAAGCAAGTTTAAGTACCTGAGTTTGTCTTGATTTTAGCCTTCTGTAAGCACAATGGAGCTTTAGAGAGGTATATCCAGTATTAGGCTTTGCTGTTTGCAAATGTACTGACAAGAAGCATGTTGACAGGAGAAGACTGCACAGTGATGATGTCAGTAGTCTGCTGCTGTTCTTTCAGTGTCTAATCTCAGCCCGGGGAAACAGATGTGACTATGCTCTACTGCTTAACTAGAAGAGAAAAGTTAGTGACCTAAACATGCTGTCTTGTAGGACTGCGTAAATATTAGGACTGGATAAATAGCAATATAAATCCTTTAAGCAGGTTAACAGCTTTCCACATACACTATATTGCCAAAAGTATTGGTCGGCCTGCCTTTACATGAACATGAACTTTAATGGCATCCCAGTCTTAGTTTGTAGGCTTTATTATTGAGTTGGCCCACCCTTTGCAGTTATAACAGCTTCAACTCTTCTGGGAAGGCTGTCCTCAAGGTTTAGGACTGTGTCTATGGGAATGTTTGACCATTCTTCCAGAAGTGCATTTGTGAGGTCGGGCGAGAAGGGTTGAGGTCAGGACTAAGGTGCAGGCTAGTCAAGTTCCTCCACCCCTAACTTGCTCATCCATGTCTTTATTTGCTTTGTGCACTTGTGTGCACATTGGAACAGGAACAAGAAGGGGCCATCCCCAAACTGTTCCCACAAAGTTGGGAGCATGAAATTGATCAAAATGTCTTGGTATGCTGACGCCTTAAGAGTTCCCTTCACTGGAACTAAGGGGCTAAACCCAACCCCTGAAAAACAACCCCACACTATAATCCCCCTCCACCAAACTTTACACTTGGCACAATGCAGTAAGCAAGTACCATTCTCCTGGCAACCACCAAACTAAGGCATGTCCATCGAAATGCCAGACAGAGAAGCGTGATTTGTCACTCCACTGATCTAAAGTCCGGTGGTGGCATGCTTTACACCACTGCATCCAAAGATTTGCATTGCACTTGGTGATGTAAAGCTTGTATGCACCTGCTTGACCATAGAATCCCAATGCACTCAATGCACTGTTGTTGTGCTAATCTGAAGGCTACACAAAGTTTGGAGGTCTTTAGCTATTGACTCTGCAGACAGTTGGCAACTTCTGTGCACTGTGTACTTCAATTGCTTTGTTATAATACCACTAACAGTTGACCGTGGAATATTTAGTAGCAAGAAAATTTCAAGGATAGACTTATTGCACAGGTGGCAACCTATCACGGTACTACACTTGAATTTGCTGAGCTCCTGGGAGTAACCCATTCTTTCACAAATGTTTGTACAAGCCGTCTGCATGCCTAGGTGCTTGACTGTATACACCTGTGGCCATGGAGGTGATTGGACCCACATGGAAAAAAAATTATATTTTAAATATATTTTAAAAATATTCTTCCCAAATATATTGACATATATTTGAAATCCTACAATTTTGGCCGTATTCAATATATTTCAAAATATATTTCAATATATTGAAAAGCATTTTTTATAATAACAAAATATATGAAAAATATTTTTTTAAATATATTTTTTCAATATATTCTTCAGATTTTTTTAACATATACAAAAGTAATTTTAACATATATTTTGTAATATATAAAAAAAGCATTTCAACATACAGTATATATATATATATATATATATTGAATATGGCCAAAATTGTAGTACGTCAATATATTTGGGAAGAATATTTGTTAAATATATTTAAAATATATTTTTCTTTCATGTGGAGAACACCTGAATCCAATGATTTGAAGGGGTGCCCCAATATTTTTGACAATGTAGTTTATGTATGTCAGCTGCATATTTAGCGATGGGTGATCGGCTTCCTGTTTGGAGACCCTTGTTCATTCAGTAGTGAACAGGTAAGTGGGCTACTTTATCAATAAACTTTATCAGTTCACAGAGAGAATCAGGTGAAGGTCAAGCAAATCATTACTTTCTAGTTGATCCCAACTCAAAGCTAACTGGCTAAATTCACTGCAAATTCCAACTTGTGCAAAACAATTAACTCATACCTACTCATAACTCCAGCATCTGTTTATGTGCTTGTAGGAATAATGGTTTTCCAGACAGCCATTTGTATGCAGGTCTAATTTCTAAAAAATGTAGCCTTTGTCTTTCCTATGAAATAGGTACATTGGTGTGGCATTAGCATTGCCAACTGGAAGTCCAGGTTATCAGTGGTGAATTGATAAACCTCATTCTTCTGTTTCAGTCCACAAACTGGCTGTTACCCTTATGAGAAGACTTTTCCACATGTAACTATTTCATGAGCTTTGAAATGTAGTCCATCAAAACTGGTATTTGAAGCTTGTAGTTGTTTTAAGCAAGTTGAATTATTCAATGGCCTTTCATATCTCTCAGCGGCTCTGATGATACAAGGTGGTTGTATGGGTTTACAAAAGCTGATGCCAACAATCGGCATCATAAAGAAAACCACATCCGCTGGTGATGGAATTCATTTGTGAAGGAAGGTATCCATTTACTTCCATTACGTTTTCTTACTTAGCCTGAATTGTATGTTGTATTTAAGGTTTAAATATACAGTAGAGGGCCAAACCTTGTAAGGCTTTTACCTAGACAAATAACATCTAAAAGAGAAAAATTGTGGCATTTTTTGTGGACATGTATCCTATGTACTTATTTCTCTACGCTTAGCAGTACATGAAATACATTTAGCACAATGTAAATGAGCATTATTGCCCCCTAATTAAAATGTCCCTGCCACTCCTGAAGTACAAGCACAATCAAGTCTTTTGTTCTGTATAAAAGTGGTGTGCCATTTTCTTCAGCTTAGATTTCCACACCAGAAGTGGCTGGGCTATAGAGAAAATCTATTTCATATGTAAACACCACTTATCTTAAAACAATAACTCGTCTTCAGTAGCTAGGTAACCATGTACCATGTTGACACAGCACAGCTTGATTACAGCAAATGACTTGTCAGATAACTTTTAAAATCAGGGTTTTCAGAGTCCTGAAGTTTACTGGTCACCATGGTATAGTAATAAGAGACCTAGTGCTTTAAAAAGAAAGCCCCAACTATGACTAGAGTCCTACAACTTTGACTCCATCAGGGTTTCAGTGGTAGAAGATGTTCCTGTAATAGTTTCATGTACGGTACTCATAATTATATTTGTTGAACTCTAGGCAGATGTAAAATACACAAATTAATGCAGTTCTGTATTCATTAACATGTCATTACATCTATACTTTAACAATAGCAGTGTAAGTATCTGATTTGAATTATTATCAGCCTCTTGAAAGTCTGAGCTAAGAGAGAAAGAGGTAGTACAAAGAGTCAGTCAGTTGTGCCGCAGTACTTCTATGCTAATAATGATCATGCTGATAGGAGAAGAGAGCAAAGTGACAGAAAGATGAGTTCATCAGTCTGCTACTTCTCCTTTCACTGCCCAATCACAATCTGACCAATCTGAGAATGAGAAAAAAACTTTTAATATTAGTAAACTGCAGTAGGGAAATATCAGGTCTCATGTCAGACAGGCTGGCTGGCAGGGTCTATTGATGCTGGCTGCAGGGGGATTGATTTAAGCTGGCTGGCTATCTATTTTTGCATGGCAGTCTATTGTTGCTGGGGCAGGGGTCTATTGTTGCTGATGGAAGAACCGTTTTTGCTGGGGGGTCAATTGTTGCCAGAAGGGATCTACTGTTGAGGGAGGGGTCTATTGTTGCTGGCTTCTGGAGAGTCTATTTATGATGGCTGCTGGGACCTCTGTTGTTGCTGCTGGGGGTCTATTTTGCTGGGGGAATCTATGGTTGCTTGCTGCCCCCAACGGCGGGTGGTCTGGGGGGTGGCAGCGGCTGGGGGGGGGCCGGGGCGTAGGGGATGTATTTTACTGCTTTTCTTGTTAGCATTACCAAATTTCATGCCACAAAATTATAATAGGATCTGTATTGTCTAACAGGAGCATTGCTGGAAGGCGGGCAGGGGGTGGAACCAAGGTATGGTGCTTGGAGGTGGGGGGGGGGGGGGGGAAGTGATTCAGAAGGGGGGAGTTCCTGCACCTAGTCTCTTAGAAAAAAAAGCCCTGGCTATCTGTATACTATATTTAGCTACTTGTCTAGAGTTCAGCTTTAATAACACTAGGAAGTATCAAAAGTACTGTAGAAATGAAAGTGTTACCAAATATACATAAACAGCGCAAAAATAGACCTCTAGATAAAATAAAACTTTTTTACATAAAGTGAATAATCCTAGTAAATTTATCATAAACAATAAATTAATAGTGAATGTACCCAATAATAATAAACACCAAAAGTCTGTGTATGATGAAAATAGAAATTTCCAAATTTCCAAAAAATTCTTCAAATGTCTTCCACCTTCCACCTGTGCAAACCAACATCAAATGCACTCAACAGATATTGGTGAATGAGAAGCCTTTAGGGATTTTAAAGGGATCCTAAACCCTCTTTAGCATCCACTCTATGGAATTCTTCACCCTCAGAATACGCTCCACCGTTCAACCGGGAGAAAAAAACCTCAGATAGTGTAATATTGCCAATCAACAATATAATTAAAAACAAAGATTAAGGCCACTCACATGTCAGCAGCTTTAAAAAACACATTTATTGAAACCATGGCCTCCAAATGGAAAACGAGCACTTTACAGACTCCTAATTCAGGAATCCCACATTACAGCCACAGGATAAAGCAGAGGATCCTCACAGAGACCAGCACAGTTCCCAAAGATGGGCGATGGAACGCACCGCTCAGCGTGCGCTCCACTCACCGGAAATGACGTCAGACGCACAGAGTGCAGACCGGAAATACGTCAACGCGTTTCGCCCCTCCCATCGGGCGTTCTCAAGACTCAGGTCTTCACTTTATGTAAAAAAGTTTTATTTTATCTAGAGGTCTATTTTTTGTGCTGTTTATGTATATTTGGTATTATTTGTGTTTTTCACATTGCACAGCGGCAGTTTAGACTTTGTAGTTTTTTTTATTGGCGCAGAAATAGTTGTCACTTTACTAGAAATGAAAGTGTGAATGTCTTATGTCAAGAAACAAACATACTAAGTTCTATTGCTGAAAAACAATTAGACAGATTATACACATTCAGGTTTTTTTTTTCCGTTCAACCAGAAAACCTGATGATCCCCGCATCAACACAAATTATGTTGATGCAGGGATCTCTCAACTGAGCTGGACTCCATCAGAATACACAGATAAAGCACTGAAGCTATTGCCTGCAAGCGCTGATTGAATGCTGGTTTTCAAGTGGAACCTTTCGATAGAACAGCTGTACACGCGGACCGAAATTTGACCAGTTTCTGTTGAATTTTTGGTATGTGTATAACCTGCTTTAGTGACATTTACAAACTGCCTCTCTTTTCTAAGTGTCCCTAAATTATTTATTTTCTGTATTATCTTTAATTATTTTGAATTAACCAAATAATAGCAGGTGTCCTACTTAATTTAGGTTTTCCTTAATGAAGCCTTTACACAATCTAGGAGCACCAAAGCCCATAGCAGAATGCCAGCTCCTCTTAGTAGGTTGCTAAATGAGGTGTGTAGGATTAAATACTGCATGTAATGATGAAATGAGGATCTGAAAACTGTAATAACACTATACTGTATATATTATATACTAAATTTGGGTTTATATTGGCATATTAGTAAAAATATTCATTCTGATTGCTAGACGTATTGGTTGAGCAAACCCTAGGTTTGCTTATACAGGACAGATAATCATGTTTGTTTTAATGCCCCCCCCCCAAGCAGAACAAACTTGCCATCTTGTTCAATACCAGGAATTGATAAAAGTATCCATACTTCTTAGTATGAATAAGCATGAATAAGCATAAGCCTATCCTGCCCTCAGCTAATAATGGAATCTTCTACTCTTCCAACCAGTCCATCCCCCACAGTTATTACCTTTTGTACCACTAGCCCCTCCCTCCTAGATTGTAAGCTCCAAGGAGCAGGGCCCTCCTATCCCTCTAGTATTGTTGCTGTATTGTCTCCCGTTATATTGTAAAGCGCTGAGTAAACTGTTGGCGCTATATTAATCCTGTATAATAATAATGTGATTCACTCCCCTTGCTCTCATGTGGTCATGTGACATGACTTTGCTTAGTAATCACAGCTCTATGTATGTTACAACTAGAGCTTATACAGGGCTTTTTCCTTGATCTTGTTGGCTGCAGTGGAAATGTGCTGTTGAAGAGAGGGCATTAGGCAGCCATTTTGCTTTATCTTTCCTGTGGGAAATAGTGTTTGCATTAAACCTGTCCAGGTAGATAAATACACTAATCAGCCATACCATTATGACCACCCACCATAGTCTTTCACGGTATGGAGTCCACTAGATATCTGAAAGTATACTGTGGGACCTGGCACTAAGCCATCAGTAGCAGATCTTTTAAGACCTGTAAGTTGTGAGGTAGAGCTTCCATAGATCAAGCTTGTTTTTCCAGCATATACCACAGATGCTCAGTTGGGTTGATAGCTGGAGAATTTAGAGGCCAAGTCAACACCTCGTTCTCGATGTTGTGTTCCACAAACCATTCTTGAATTCATCAGACCATACTACCTTCTTCCATCACTCCAATTCTGATGCTCACATGCACATTGTAGGTGCTTTTGGTCTTGGACATGGTTAGCATGGGCCCCATACATAACAAACTGCGATGCACTATGTGTTCTGACACCTCTCTATTGGAACCAGCATTTTCACTATTTCAGCAATTTGAGCTACAGTAGCTCTTTTATGGGAATGCTTTTGCTCCCCACATG